GTCAGACATGAACTCTGGACATGTTGTGTAGTCGGTGTTTGTGAAGCAGCAGAATGTTCGATTCGTTCACAACAACAGGAACATGTCGGGAACAGTTCATATCTGAAAGCAGCTTTAATAAATTTAGACATTTCTCTGAGCCATTGTTGAGGAGTGTCTCTGGTGGTCTCGGGTGTTTGTGAGGACAGGGTGTTCACCTGGTGGAGGCAGGTAGCCATTGAACAGCACGTTTCCACAGGAAGATCGGTCCAGCTCGTCACACAGCTGCAGTTTACGAACTAGAACAAAACAATTTCATGAGTTAATAGACTGAACGACACACTTGTAGAAAGAGACGAGCCTCAGTGTCTCACCCAGCGGTGTGATGCCGTAGAACTCTGCCTCGTGCATGAGCATGTGCACGTTGATGGAGCGAGGATGAAGCTCTTTTGTCCGCAGGAAGTTGAGGATGGTAGCAAACAGAGAGGGGTCCCTGTCGATGAAGATCTACGGAGAGAGAGGAGGAACAAAAGGGAGGTTCACACACCAGTGTAACAAGGATACACACACACACACACACACACACAGACACACACAACTTACAGCTCCAGTTTCATCCTTCAGAGTTGAGATCCGACCGCTCAAAAGACTGAAGAGAAAAAGAAAACACAAACCCTCAGTTCAACTGAATTTTCCAGCAGATTGTTTTCTATTCATAAACGATCTTTATTTCCATCTTCATTCCATCAATGTAAAACCATCAATATTCAGAGTTTGGCTTTGGCAATAACTGCACACAGAGAGTAACTGACCAACCTGGAGAAGAAAGAGTCCGGGACCCAGGTCAGCGTCTGTCGGGAGGTGCTGAACCTGAAGGAGAGCAGATATCAACTCTCTAGTATCAGAGTTACACTGGAGGTTTCTACCCTCTGTCAGTGTGGAGACAAGAAAACCTCCCCCACTGTCTGAGTCTCCGCAAGGCAGCACAGTGTAACATTATCTGAACAACAGCGCCCCCTGCAGTCACATGTGCTGATTCATTCGGGTGGTTTCAGTGTGATGAAGCAGTTTCCATGTGTAGAAAAAACCAAAGTCTATTAAAGTGTTGAGCTCCGACTGTGTCGTCCCACTGAACTGAAACACACCTGAACGCTGGTTGTTACCCATGATCCTCTGCTTCCTGATATTTTCAAAGTTGAACATTGGAGATAAACTCTGGTTGTTAATAACTGATCTCAGTTCAGCTCCACTCTTCCACTGGAGCTGCTGGAGACTCTCAGGAGATGAACTCAGCGGTGACAGACTCAGGGAGCGAAGGAGGACACGTCCTCCATGTTCACACTCACACATCAGATTTGTGCAACCTCATGTTTTCCCTTTATCTGCATCTTGTTGTTTTAGTGGGTTTTACCCATCATGCAGTTGCCATAGAAACCGTGTGAACTAGAAACCTGAACTTCCCGGATGTGACCTCCTCCTGCAGTCAGACTGTCAGTGAAGCTCAGCTGAGCTACATGACGCTACATCCGGTTTAAAACCCATCTTTCAAAAGACGCTGGTGTTAAAAACATCTGTATCACAGCTGCTTTAAGTTACAGCGACGTAACGTTGGTCATTAGTTCCATCATCGGACACAAGGAATGGCTTTGGCTGTAGCCTGACGTTACTCTGATTACTTTGAGTTCCGTTACTCTGATTACTTTTAGTTACTCTGATTACTTTGAGTTACGTTACTCTCTGTGTAATGGATGTTTGATTAGAGTAAAGTATGTTGTGAATGAACAGAAAACAGTGATGCTAACAGTCTGTATCACAATGAAGCCACTCGACCTCAGAACTTAGTTAAAAGTATTTTAAATCGTTTTTAATTCACATACTCGATGTGTATTTACCGACGCCTCAGAGTATTTCAGTCACACCGAACTTTAACTTAGTTCCTGACGTTGGTGAGCTGCGGGACAATGACCTGTCCGATAATGGACGCCGCCGTGCTAGCCATGTAGCTGGTGGCTAACCGGGCTTCGCTCCGACAGGCTCTCACCTCTTCCCGCCGACGTTCAGGTGGATGATGTCCCCGCTCCTCGCCGTGTTCGCCATCCTGTGAAGAGTCCGCGGCTCCACAACAACAACACGTTTACATTCCGTCCATTTTAAGATTTCATTCCGTTTCCGTCCACAAAGTCTGTTTCCGGTCCGGCTCTCTGCAGCTTCCGGTGGCGCAGGGACATAAAACCCGCGGAGGAGTCACTGGATCAGGGAGCGAAAAAAAAAACCGAACCCTAAACCACGGACTGGAGTCACCGACTGGAACCGGACTACACGTGTTATTAATATATTAATATACTTAAATGTATCATGAGTGGTTTCAATAGACACAACTTTATTGTGAAAACATAAACAAATATATTTAATATGTGATAGTTATAACTTATATATATTTCATTGTATATGTTTAATTAAAGCACATGTATGTGTTTAACGTGACGTTAAATAAAAGATCCAAGTCAAAGTTTATTGTCGATTGTGCCACAGGACAGACACGAGGTACAAGTAGTGTTTCTATCTGAATCACAGTGCAAATATTCATGATGCAACATATAGTACACTATACGTACTCAAATGAAATATAAGTACACAACATATGAGTACTCAATTAAAAGGGGACATGGTAGAAAGGGTATGAACTGCAGTGACTGTAGCACAAACCAGAATTGTGCAAAATAGAATAAGCAGTACACAATCCAAACGTTTAACATTATTATCAGCGAGTACTTCAAGTCTTTAGGTAAAAGTACATAATCTTCTCTGTCATTGTTAGATGAATATATGTTTCCAAGGTTTCAAAGGTTTTATTTGTCATCTGCACAACAGATGCATCTACATGTTAACTCCCAGGCACCTCAAGCAGCTCAACATGCAAGTGTCATAAAATAAGAGTAACTAAAAATACAAATAACTTACAANCTAAAAAATAGCCATTAACATTTTCCATGTCGCCACATTTTGGCCAAGAAAGAGAGATGGTTCAAAGGTTCAAAGGTTTTATTTGTCATCTGCACAACAGATACAGCGTACATGTTGGCAATGAAAATCTTAAATCCCAGGCACCTCAAGCAACTCAACATGCAAGTGTCATAAAATAAGAGTAACTAAAAATACAAATAACATACACCAGTGCTAATGAAACAATAAGTACAAATGTCAGTACTAGTGCAAAAAAATTAAACATTATAAGGTGCAAAATAAATATATAATAAAATAAGGTGCTAAAGTGAGATATATACATGTCAGGATTTAGCAGCAGTTATGGGGAGGTGTGGACAGATAGGAATTATTGCACTCATTATATTTTTATTGGTTGGAAATATGATGAATAGAAATGATAATGACAGAATGAGAATTATTGTAAACTAACTAAATAAATATAGTTCTTTGTGTGTATGAATATTATAATGTGTAGATAAATATGTTGTTTTAAACAGATGTAGTGACTTTCACAGAGCTCAGGAGCTCAGCAGTCTTACAGCCTGTGGGATAAAACTGTCCCTGAGTCTTGAGGTCTTGGTCCGGATGCTGCGGTACCGTCTGCCAGACGGCAGCAGACAGAAGAGTTTGTTGCTGGGGTGATGGGGGTCTTTCAGTATCCTGTGAGCCTTCGTCCTACAACGCTGGGTGTAGAGGTCCTCCATGGATGGTAGCTCTGGTGATGTGCTGAGCAGTTTTCACCCCCCTCTGTAGAGTCTTACGGTTCAGGGCGGTGCAACTGTGATTAATAATATACGATAAAAACATCCCGTTGAATGTTTACGACAATAATAGCAGAAGTTTATAAATCCTAGCAGCAGTGAAAGCAGCGTCCAGCAGCTGCAGCTGTGCAGATGTTGTTTCAGCAGTGAAGAACAGAGATGCTCCACTTCCTCCTCTCTTGTCACAAATCTTCCTCCGCTGGATTCCACTTCCTGTCATTCTCCTCCAGAGCAAAGCAGCATGGGAGGAAGACACACGCAGAAACACACACACACACACACACACTATAACAATAGATAGAACACTGAAGGCAAAATCTCTTTTTAAAGTTTAACTTTAACATTTGTTAAAGTTAAACTTAACTTTAACAAATGTTGCATGTAGTTGTGTTGCATGATTCGTGGGACAAATCTTAATCTTAATTTCACCACTGCTGTCGTTTGTCTGGGATGGAAGGACGGCATTGTCCGTCACAGTAGGAGGAGCCTTGGAAATGGGACTCGTTCCGCTGCTGTCTTTTTAAAATGTATTTTAATTTCTCTCTTAATGCCCTTTTGCTGCTATAATGTTTGAATTTCCCCAGTGTGGGATGAATAAAGTCTATCTTATCTTATCTTATCTTATCTTATCTTGAAATTCAGCCTCTGAACTAAACTACACCCTCTAGTGGCTGTTGTTAGTATGACTCTTCACCGAAACGTATTCACTTCTTAGATATATTTTCAAAAACGTCTCCTCGTGATTTGAATTTTATGGTTTTGAACCTAAACCACCTCAGCCCTGTGAATTGAGCCCACTTTTATTTAACCCCTGTTAAACTGGGAGGGAGGAAGTGAGGGTGTGTGTGTGTGTGTGTGTGTGTGTGTACGTGTGTGTGTGTGTGTGTGTGTGTGTGTGTTGGGGGGGCCTAAAAGTAGAAAGATGTGAAGCTAAAAAAGAACAAAGATAGAAAGTCAGTCTGAAACACGTCCTGTTGTCAGAGAGGGAGACGCTTCACGATGAGACAGAAACAACAGAGAGAATCATCGCTGCTAAAAAAAGAGACGAGACTCAGCAGAACTTTGAATTCAAAGGTTAAAAGGTCGTCATGAAAACAAACTGTTTCTGTAGATTKACACGTTGAAACAGGAAGAATCAGGCGAAGAGCACAGACAGAAATATAGAGAGAGAGAGAGAGAGAGAGGAGGGACGATCAGACAGGAAGTGGAACTCCTCCACACTTAAAACAGCTCCGACCAACACTTTACCTTTTCATTACACAGCTGTAGATCACATGTAGAAGTCAACATCTGGATGGAAACCTGAGTGAACATCCGCCTGTTGGTGAGTGAACTCTTCTTCAATAAACATGTTTGATTCTGAGGCTTCACACGTTACTGAAAAACTCTTGTTCTCCTGTTTCAACTCGGATGTGATGAATTAAAGCAAACGAGCGGAATAAAAGATAAAGAGTGAAAAACACGAGGCAGCCGAAAACATTTCTGTAAAACAGCGGCTGATACCAGTTCAACTCTTTTCTTCCACCAAAAAACATAGAAGCTTGAAAACAAAAATGAAATCACAGGCAGTAAAGTGAAGCTTCATTAACATGTAGGACAAATGATTTTAGGAATAAAGTCACAACTAAAATGAATAAAACTTGAATAGATGAGAAACAGAATTAAATGTTAATGATACATTTCACTGTGAAATGAACACAGAAAAAATGAATCATCATTTCACTGTGAAATGATTAATTGTCTCCTGAGGATCCGTCCAGTTTCTTGTTCAGACCTGATGAAGCTGCACTTCACTGACACACAAATGACATTATCATTACTTTATTATTCACACAAGAAGAACAAAATGAAATTACAGCTCATGATACTATTGTTACGTTCAGTATGTGGATATAAAATCTGTCTACCGCTCGTTCTGCTTCGGGGGAAATGTCACATAATATAAACAGTTTGATGGAGAGAGAGGGAGAGAGAAGCTGCAGGAGCAAAATCAAACAGAAATATTTATATTCAGGATTGAACCTTCGAGAGCAACAGTCACTGACTCATTCAATTTCTTTGAATTATAGTTCATCTTATTTACTGAACAACCAACAGTTCTTTTTATTTCCTGAATGAATCAATGAGTCTTGTGTTATTACAATTTATATTGTACCACCTAATGCTGAACGTAACATCTGTTAAAAAGAGAAGTTCAGACGAGCAGCCGCGGGTTTCGATTGTTAAAGAGGTTAAAAGACCAAAGATTCACTTCTTTCTTCTCATTTAATGATTTTATTCTGAAAATCCATCTACACTGTTTGTGAAATGTTTCCTCCAGATTTAATTACAACTAAAGTTCCTGTCATCAACGTTTTCACCTGGAAGTCTCATGACTGTTGTTGAAGAGTTTAACTGGAATCAAAGGAGTTGAAGAACTTTTATTTTGTGTTAGTGAACTGACCTGATAACTGATGAAGAGCTGAACGTGACTCCGCCTTCAACACATTTCCTGTCTGTGGTTTTTAGGACGGGTAGTTTCGATTCTCCAGTAGTAATCTGATTACTTCCACTGATCAATGAGGTAATCTGATTATTTAAAACTTCATCTTATATAAGAACTGATAAAAGCTTTTGTGAGAGTAATGAAAATAAAAAGTAAAATCATGTCAGAAATGTAGTTGGTGAAGTACAAGTACCTTGAACTTGTACTTCAGTACATTCTCCTGCAAATGATCTCAGAGACGTCCAGTGATTCACGTTTCAGCAGGAAAAAGAAACGAACTGAAAAACTGGAATCGTCCTCGGTCCTCTATGTTTCTAAATGTGGCTGAAGAAAAGAATGTGATCTGATGGGGCAGCGGCGACAGTCCGTCAAGTTCTGGGTCTGAGGAAGACTTTGGTAACGTGTCACATGTCTCGGTCAACGAGACGTTTAAACGCTCTGTAATGACGTCATATGAAATGCAGAGCAGAGATTGATTTATTCTTATTAACAGTCATGTTCTACACAAATATAACAAAGGCGACTATGTTCCTCTCAAGATGTTGATGAATTTCAGAATAAACTTTCTTTGTCCAACTCCTGTGTTGCTTCCTCCAGTGGTTTGTAAGACACCATCATCTGTGGAGACTTTTGTTCCATGTTGTGAGCCGAGTTGTTTGACTTCCTGTCTCTGACTAGTTGCTCTTGTCAGAGGAGCTTGTATAAATATATAAGGTGAATCAGAATATGAACAGAAACGTTCCGACGTGTGTCAGTAAAATGGGAAATCAACACATTTTTGTTCCGAGCAGCTGAAGTTCTGTCTGTTTACGAAGCGACGGCGTCTTCCAAACACGCCACAGCTGTTTCATGAGAACTGATCCGCTCAGTATAAACACAGGAGATCAGCACAACGTGATCACTGTCACCTTCACCCAGGGTTTCTGTTCAGTCCCTGCGGATCTCTGTAGTTTACCTGAAGTCACAACACAACACGAGGTGTGGGGGACGGAGGTTGAGGTCAGAGTCACAGTCGTGCTCGCTCTGGACCTTCAGCTGAGGTCCAGGCGTCCTCTGCCTGATCCTGCGGACCACAGTTGGCAGCAGGTTCAGGCCTCATCCTCACATTCTTCTGCAGATTCGTTCTTTTCTGTCAGGACGTAGTTTTCTCTGGTTCCTTCTGTCACATGACCTCTGTCCAGAGGAAAACGAGCCTCAGCTTCCAGAGTAGAAACAACCCGGAGAATCAAGTGTGACTGACCCTGTTGTGTTTATGTGGAGGAGAAATAAAACTGAAGCTGTTTACACTGACACACACACGCCCAGTGCACGTGAGTGGTCACGTGATCAGTGGACATGTGGACAGAGATTGTTCTTTAGAATTTAATGAACTGGTTTGTACCTGATGGAGGAAATGTCCACGTTGTTATTTCTCACACTAAGAATTGTGGGATAGGTTTGGTCACAGTGATGCGTTTCTATTTCAAGCTATAACGGGTTCTCCGGGTGGATCCTCCGACTGTGTCAGGACGGGGTGTCGTCCTCCTGTGTCACCGCTGACTGTTTTCATTAGCGTGGATGAAGGAGCAGAGAGTGTGTGTTGGACTGAGATGAAGCAGAAGCAGGAGGGAAGTGTGTGAACAGCAGGACAAACTTCTGATTTGTGCACATGGCTCAGTGTACACAGAGCTTCATCAACAGTTAAGGCTCCTGTGGTGAGTTTGTTCTGTGCTCAGCTAACAAAGAATTTCAACAGAACAGGAAGAACGGGAAGGGCTTCTGTTTCCATGTCAACGTGACGGAAGTTACAGTGTGAGCGAGAGTCAGCTCGTTAAAGAGAACTGAATCGATAAAGTTTTATTTTCTTAAGAATTCAGATTTTATATTGGCAATATGAAAATCACCAGTGGTTCTCTGAAGGGGAACATGAACCTGATGTTATCGCATGGACGTCTCACTGAATACGTCTGACCAGGAGGTGGCACTGCAGAGGACCAACAGTCAGGAGACTGTCCTCTGTGTCTGTCCTCTGTGTTTGTCCTCTGGGGACCTCAAACCTCTGCAGCAGTTTATCTCTGATGATTGGACAGGTGGACACCAAGGCCTCTGGAGTTCATCCTCCAGGAACAAAGTCAAATCCCAATCTGAACAAAACATATGATTTGATCCCAGAAGAATTCGTCACAGTTTGTTGGTTTGAGTCTGAACGAGAGAATCTCGAGTCGCAGCTCAAAGTCATGTGACTGTTCATTCACGCTCTCCTCTGAAGCTTCTGTTTCTCCAGATGTGACATCGATGTTCTGTTGGATTTCGTTAAAGTCACACAACATTTCCGAGGTTTTCTGACTTGATGGCGTCGATGTCAATTCTCATTTCTTCAGATTTTTCCAACACCACATGAACACACGGTTATTCTGCAGAACTAAGCAGCTGACGACCACGAGCTAATTAGAGCTAATTAGTTAGTTCAGAACAGATGATCTCCTGATGACGTGACTCCACCCACCAGGCTCAAAACTTTCAAATCCAATCCATCCCATAGTCTGAGCGATAGATTCCTTCTTGTAAAAGTTGTACATTGACTTGATGATCATGAGAATAAACAAATCCAGAACATGCAGATTTCATCCTAGATTACTGATTTGGTTTGAACTGTTTTGTGTTTCCAGGGATGGATCCCTTCAACGTCAGCTGCCCCCCCAACAACCAATCAAGCTTGCACAGCGTCTTCTCCCGACAGGTGCTCCCTCCGCTCTATTTCATCATCTGCGTCGTGGGCCTGTGCCTGAATGGCGTTGCGGCCTGGATCTTCTTCAGAGTCCCCAGTGACTCAGGTCTGGTGGTCTACCTGAAGAACATGGTGGTGGCTGACCTGCTCATGCTCGCCACCTTCCCCTTCAAGCTGGCGTTGCAGCTGGGTCTGGGCGGCTGGTGGATCCATGTGGTCAACTGCCGCTACACCGCCGTGCTCTTCTACTCCTCCATGTACGTGGGGATCGTCTTCATGGGCCTCATCAGCCTGGAGCGCTATGTCAAGATTGTCCGACACACCTCCTCCTCCTCCTCCACCTCCTCCTCCTGCAGGTCCAGGTTGGGGAGGGGCTCTGCGCTGCACCTCCTGCAGAGTGTCGGCTTTGCCCGGGTGCTGGCGCTCTTCACCTGGAGCCTTCTCCTACTCTGCAACCTGCCCAACGTCATCCTGACCAGCCATCCGGCCAATGAGATGAACTTCTGCGACTGCATGAAGCTGAAGACGGACCTGGGCAAGCAGTGGCATCAGGTGTCCATCTTCTTCAACGGGTCGCTGTTCTGGGTGACACTGCTGGTCCTCGCCTTCTGCTACGCCTCCATCGCCCACCATGTTTACCAGTCGTACCGTCGAGTGCAGCGCAACAACAGCAACGTCTGCCGTAAATCCAACCGCAGCATCTTCAGCATCCTGGCGGTGTTCGTCGTCTGCTTCGTGCCGTACCACATCTGCCGCGTGCCGTACACTCTCAATCAGAAGCAAGGATCGGGCCTCTCCGAGGCCACCCGCTTCCTGCTGTTCCAGCTGAAGGAGGGGACTCTCTTCCTGTCTGCGCTCAACGTTTGTCTCGACCCCGTCCTCTACGTCCTGATGTGTCGGACCTTCAGAGAGTCGCTGCTGAGGAAACTGTCAGGGAGGGAGAGGAGGAGATCCCTGACCACCAACCACAGTCTGAGCAACATTTAGGACAAGAGAGGAAAGAGGAGAAGAAGGGAGACAAAGGAGGAGCAAGAGGAGAGGAGCAGGAGTGGAGTCATGGGAAATGAGAAAACCGACAACAGGAGAGGAGAAGAGACAAGAGGAGAGGAGACAAGAGGAGAGGAGACAAGATATGGGAATCAGATAAAGAAACAAGAGAGGATGAGAGGAGACAAGGGAGGAGCGAGAGGTGAGGAGACCAGAGAAGGAGAGATGAGAGGAGACAAGGAAACAAGAGAGGATGAGAGGAGACCAGGAAAGAAAGAAAGGAGAGAAGGAGCTTCCTAACCACGGCCCAGAGTCTGAGCCACATTTTGACTAAGCTTTGTTAAATCTCACAAGTTTATATAAAGAGTTCATGAAAAGAAGCTGATTCTGAAAGTTAAACCACTTTTATTCAAGAAGTAAATCACTGAATCTCCACGTCGATAATAATCTGATAAAAATGTGTATGAATGCAGAATAGTGTATTTATACTGGCAGTTAATGAAATAACAGTAAGTGATTGTGTGATGAAACAGAGGAGCTGCATGTGAAAAAGAAAAGACGATGCCACTCTGTGGTTTCTGCGGATGTGGAAGTGAAACGGGACTCTGATGACAGGGCATCAAACGTGTGACACCAGATTCTGCTGTAGTCGTCTCTCTGGTGTGAAGAACCTGAATCATTCAAAGACTGAATTCTAATGAATTCAACTGAGTCTCTTGTTTCCTGTGAAGCCACAGAAACACTCGACTTCTTGTTTCATTTCCAGCTGGTGAAGTTTTTCATAAAGTGTTGATATTAAAAAACAATGTGTGTTGTTGTGTTTTGTTCTAAACCCGGACGTTTCCGATTAAACATTTCAATTGTAATTATTTTATATTGTTATGTCTGCGCTGCCCTCTTGTGGTCACACTAATTAACACGTTAAGCATTAAGCATTTATTTTAAAAGTGAGCACAGGAAGTGAACCCTTACTGCCCCCGCCCCCACGGTCCCCGATTAAAGTAGTGTAGTGACCGACTGTGGCCACTGGGAGTAAAACCAAAACAACCACACTGAGGAACTGCACATGAAACCATAATAACATTAAAACGTTTAAATGACAAAAATAAAAAGCGTTCTGACGCAATATCTTGCCCAAGGACACTTCGGCATGCCGATGGGGAAGACCGGGATCGAACCACTGACCTTCTGGGTAGAGGACGACCACATCATGTGTTTTCAGGTGTGTTAGTGTGGACGGAGATTATTTGTGATACAGAGCTGAAACACTCCGTTTTGAACTTCAGCCTTTTAGCCTCTTTTAGTTTCTTCTAGTTTTTGTCTTTGCACTAATCACAGAGACTTATCACGTGAACGTGACGGACAGATGAGCAGCAACAGTTCGAACTACATCAACCTTTACCGCCGCTCTTCTTCCTGCTCAGTTCGTCCCGACGCGATCACGGTGCAGGAGGAAGTCAAACTGGTTCTCGCTGACAGACGCAGACAGGTGATGTGTTGGAACTCGTGAACTTCTGCTTGACTAAAGTATCGATAGAACAATGTGCTTCATGTAGTTTAAGCTTTGACAGTTATTAACTTATGAGGTCAGATAAATGTAGCAAAGTACGAGAACTTTAAAAAACAATAATCAGTTATAATAATAAGTTAAGATAAGATAAGATAAGATAAGATAAGATAAGATTATCCTGACTTTCCCATGGGGAAATTTACCGTCTTAAACAAAAGAACTTTCCAGGTTTAAAAAACTCAAATCATTACTAATGCCGTGTTTCTCGTTTTATTCTGCGTCTTGTCTCATCTTGTGATTTCAGGTCGGATCAGTGCAGCTTCATCACCAACGGATTTAAGGTTCTTGGCTTCTCAAGGTTGTTTAATACGACTAAGCTTTGCAGTAAAATAAGAGAGTGCGCCCCCCAAAGGCCTGGATCCTATAGTCTGGAACCACAGGTGAAGTTTCATGTGTGAACTGTCCTCAGACGAATATGGTCAAAGTGGCTTGGACAGTAAGTTGCTGCTTGTTGTTGATATTTGAACTAATACTGAAATCATGAATATTTGTCTGATACACAGCGTTTAATATGTCGTCATTCCTCGGACTGTCCTCCAGCGTCTCTGACCTTATTGTGGCTGAACAGATGTGCTCTGTGGTTCATGTCTCTTTATGCTCAGCGATTGTTTCTGTCAGTTTCCTCTTTAACCACTTCCTCTCATCTGTTCATGTGTGATGTTGGCTCTCTTCTTGTCTGTGGACAGACAAAGGACTGACTCCAGTCTGTCAGCAACAAGATGAACGCCAGCAACGCGACAGGCTGGGATCAGGTCGGCACCTCGGCCCAGGTTGTCTTCGTGCTCGTCTACAGTCTGCTGTTTCTGGTGAGTAGTGATCGGCACAATTATTTAAAGAATTGACTCAAATGGAACCCTGCCTGTCAATGTTTGAAATCATCCTGAGGTCTTTGTGCTTCTCCTGCAGGTCGGTTTGCTCCTGAACGGCTTCACCCTGAAGGTTTACTTCTGCAGAGCCCGGCAGCAGACGAGCAGCAGCGTGACCGTTTACCTGAAGAACCTGGCGGCCTCCGACTTCCTGATCAGCCTCAGTCTGCCCATACGAATCATCCACTTAACATGGAACTCCGTCCCCATCCACCAGCTCTACTGCAACTTTGGTTCTGTCGCCTTTTACCTCAATATGTACGCCAGCATCCTGTTCATGGGTTACATCGCTGCTAACAGGTGGGTTGGACTGACTCCGCAGGCTAATGTGTTGATGTTCAAATGACTGATGCTCAAAGACACAATCAAAATCTACTATTTCAAATGTAAGAACCAGTTTGTACACGTGCAAACAGCAGCATTCACACATCGTCACTCACCTGCAGAATAAAACAGGCGGAGAATAATACCCAGAATTCCTAATGAACATTTTTGAACTTCTATAGAAAAATCTCCAGACTTTAAAACACACATTAAATCAAGCTGTTACCAAAACCTCGGAATGTGGAAGTTGTCGTTTTCAGATGCCAAAATAAAATGTTGAGGTCGACCTGATACAGAAACGTTTATTAAAAGAGCTTCAGCTCAATCTGAGCCAATCACAGATTCTACAGCGCCCCCTGGTGACATTCGGGCCACAAGATAAAAATCCTTATAATGATATTATTAATAATGAACCTGTCGTTAAACTTGTTTCTGTTTTTACTGACGACAGCAGGTGAACTGAACTGAAATGTTTCCCTTCATCACATGATGGAGGAAACGTTTGTAATCACCAGTCAACAAACACATTGGGTCGTATTTTCACGAACGTGCGGTTCGTACGGAACGTGACTCTGTTTGGTATTTTGGTGACAGGATGTGTCGGGAACATGTGGGAACAGAGAAAGATGGAGATGAACTGTGTGTTACCGGGCGGAGACGGATTCCACCAACCAAACCTGTTCACATGAAACTGGAGCAGATTTAGCTGAAATACTCAAATGACATCCTGAAGTTGAGGCTTTGACTTGACGACAGCTTGAGAGTTTGATGAAGAAGTGAAAGGGTGGTGTTTCCTGGTCATTAGGAGGATGTGGTATTGTCACATTAAGAGACGTTCAAGATGTGGTTTGGTGATAGAGAAACAACATGCTGCAGATATTTCACATGAAAAACCTGCAGGTTTATTTCAGTCAAAGTTTTAAAAAAAGAACCAAACTGAAAATCTCCATTGAAGCAGATGTCACACGTTTGATGCCTCATATTTCCGTGTGTCTGGTAAAAGCTGTCGTCGATGTTGATTTGTTTGGTGCTGAATGTTCGTCCGCACTAACCAGCAGCTCAACATGGAGCCATGACGACAGCCTGCTCTCTGCTATCGACTTCTCGTCACCACCTTCCTGCACGACAGCGAAGAGTGCAAACCTTGCTTTTACAAGAACTGGTTCCAGACGTAGACCCAAGCTTTCCCCTGAGTGTGTGAGGTGTGAACGTGAGCGTGAATAGCTGTTTGTGTGTCAGAGTTTACGATACGTTTGTGACACGTCCTCGTTGAACTGCACCTCTCGTCCAACGTCAGCTGGCTCCAGCTCCCCCGCTGCCCTCGGAGGTTCAGCTTTATAGATGATGGATGGAAGTTTAGAAATTAATCAATGAACATGATCCAGGCCTCGTTCTGATTCATGACCTGACAACTGCTTCTCCTCCTCAGGTATCTGAAGATCGTCCACCCTTTACAAACTCACATCCTGCAGACCAAACGAGCCTCTCACATCGTCTCCATGGTAACCTGGGTCTTCCTTCTGGCCGTGTCATGCAGCTACATCGTCCTGTTCCTCCTCAACCAGAAGGACTCTCCTATGAAGGACACGGTCTTCTGTGAAGACCTGCACAATTCAAAGTTCGGTGTTTTCTACAAACTCACCCACGCCTGCTCCGCAGCCATCTTCCTGCTCGTCCTCATCTCCCTGGTCCTCTTCTACTACAGCACCTCCCACAGGCTGTCTCTGGCCCAGCAGAGGCAGCCGGCGTCCTCCAGCTCTAACAAACTCGCCAAGTCACGCAGGAACATGTTGGTGCTGGTCATCGTGTTCTGCATTTGCTTCGTCCCGTACCACCTGGTTCGACTCCCGTACGCATTCCTGGGGAAGGACATGACCTTCTTCTACCTGAAGGAGGTGACCATCATAGTGTCAGTTCTCAACATCTGCCTGGACCCGCTCATCTACTTCATCTTCTGCAAGGCCTTCAGGGCCCAGCTGAACACGAAGAGGACGTTCAACACGTCGCAAGTCACCTCGCACGCAGGAAGACTCGAGATGAGAAGCAACGGCGAGTGGTGAAGCTGAGTGGCGTCCAACACACAGCAACAAATATATAGACAGGTTTACAAGAGACATCCTCAAAGATCAGTGATTATATCAGTGATCTTTATATAATATAAAAATAAAATACAATATATATACAGAAGTGAAACTGTGGTGAAAAGAGAAAACACTGAAGCTCCTGAAACACGGTGTCCAAAGTTCTTCATGATGTCACATGACAAACAAACAAAACCAAAGAAATTCACAAACTGTTGTAGAAGTGTTGACGTCCACTTGTCATTCTGTGCTGCAACCAGCAGGGTGCAGCAGTGTGTCGTCACATCAACATTTTAACATGTGAATCAAATCTCATTCATAAAAACGTGAAGTGAAGAAACATGGAGGGATCACTTCCTGTCACAGGAGCGTAAACAGGAAACCAGGTCGTTTGACCCCAGAGGTCATTCTAACAGATCAGTGACATCATCAGAGTCAAGTTGTAACTGAGTGGAAACTTCAAGTAGCTGGAAATAAAAACAAAAGTCGTAAACTGTGAAACTCGATTCTTGTTGCTGGATTAGATCTTAAAGATTTAACTCTGAACTACATTTGTGACATTATTCTCAGGATCTCTCTCTTTTAAAACGTCTTCCTGAAACGTTTGGATCAGTTGCTTCAGCTCGTTTCAGACGCTCTGAAGCAAACAGCTCCACACGGAGCCAGAGCTCGACCCTCAGCCCCGAACGATGCTTAATGTCGTCTCACGGTGGTCGAGCACAAATTACAGAGAGAAAAATAAACGATTATCTGTGACATCGACTCTGCGTCTTGGTTGTAGAGAACCAGTGAATCAGATAATCAGATCGTGTCAGTTCAAAGCAGATTATTGGATTTCATGGTCGAACTCACAAACCACAGGAAACACTTCACACAGTAAGTTTGTGTAACACAGGGAGATGAGCGGAGTCAGTGGATATAGTTGAAGAAGTATTTTCAGAGGTTTGTTAAAGACCAGGACCAACATACACAAATGACTTCTGTAGTTTTTACTGCACATGATGAAGCTGATGTTCTCGCTCCCTCACGAGTATTTTGAATATGCGATGTGGGCAAACAGCTGGACCGTCTCCGAGCTAAACACCTTGTACACACAGTATTTAAACACCTTGTACACACAGTATTTAAACACCTTGTACACACAGTATCTAAACACCTTGTACACA